AGTTTGATATGTTCTTGAAAGACAAAGTGTATTTCCCAAGAAAATAACCGCTGTGATTTTAAACTTGGTAGTATAAAGCAGCCAGAGAACAATTCTTTTGAGATGAGCTTGCATTCTTTTCCAAGGAGATTAGCACTGTTGGTTTGCCCTTACTTTAAGAAAAGGAATGTGTTATGTGTTGCCTGTAAACTTGTAGGATTAGTCAGAAGAGGGATTCTCTACATCCTTGATGAACAGGGGATAAGTGGTGCTTTCCTTCAGACCTGTTCCACAAAATATTCTCTACTTGAATTCATGTGTAGAGACCTACAACAAAATTCCTAGAGCACCGTAATTGCTCCACCTCCCACTGGCTGTCACATGCTTATGAATGGTGTGTGCACACAGGAGAACTAATTCAGCACCACATAAAAAAAAAAAGTAATGTGTCCTTTAGATATCCTCTCCTGGGAGTGCAGTGTTTGGTCAAATGTAGGTTCTGATGTAAAGGGATTTAGACTTTTCTAAACTAAAATGAGTATATTTTTTATATCTCCTTGATAGAAACTTGAAAATGTCTTAGTGGACAGCTTTCTTTTCCAGGATTCCCTACATGGCGTCATCATAATACTTCAGGACTCATTTTTTAAAGAAAAAAGCGTATCAAATGACATAGTAGGCAAAATATAATTTCAAATCTAAGGATACTAAGACTTGGAGAATTGAATGCAATACTTGTCTTAAAAGAACATCCTCACATGTTATCGTTATGAAAAGAAAACCAGTCCAAGCCTCTGCCTGAATCACCTACTGTAATTTCCTTATCATAGGGTATAAGATGATAGTAAAATTAAAGCAAAGCCTGATATCCAAGATTTTCTATGGTATACTATTGGTTTTCATTAACATAATTTAGGAATATCAGCATTTTATTTCGCATATAAGTGTTCCACTGCATTTAGGACTTAATGTCCTAACATTTTTTTGACCACCTTAAACAGTTTCAAAACTTTCTCATACTCATGCTTTTGTGTTAGGAAGGAATCCATAAATACAGATGATTTTCACTAGTGGAAACTGAAGTGGCCTGGGTCTCCTTAAAAGGCCATAAATAGAACTTTAATGACTGCAGCATAATCCCATAAACTATAAGTGAGCAACAGAATTTTTTACACCAGCCCACAAATGTTCTGGGCCCCAATGTGATTTTTTTGATTTTTTTTTTTTTTAACTCTCAAAGACATTACGCACCAGCCAAGAATTACTTTGAATTAACAATTTTGCATGGAGACTTTATTGCAGATATACACAGGTATCTTCTCTGAAGGATAAAGGAGTATATGCCATAAATGTTCCAATTCTTTCTTGTAGTTTATTTGTAGTTTGTTTTCCTTAATGAATTTCCATTGAATTAACTAGTTACTTAACTAAATTAGATTTCAGTTGAACACTTCGATTAAACAAATGGGAGACCTCCTAATACATCTACATGAGGCACATTTCTCAAGGCTTCATTTTATTCCCAGATAAGCAGGTACTACTAGCAACACAGAGTATGGAAATCTGCCACCGCACATGTTAGGTCTGGGAGTATAGTACGAAACTGTCAAAACAGGAAGTAATGTGTGGTCATGGTGTGTAAGTGTGATTAAGATATACTCCTTTTACAGTGAATCATAACCACATTCTGGTGATGATCCTATTATCTGACGTTGTTTTCCACACAATAGAAAGGAGGGAGGGAAGAGAAGGGGAGGGAGTGTGGAAGGAGGAAGTTTTTTGGTTTTTTGTTTTCTTTCTTTTAGGAGGAAGGTTTTTAATATCCATCTATTTCTTGACATTTGACTGATAACCCTGTATTTCACTGATTCTTTGAAGTGCAAAAATAAATCCTTCTTTTTGTAGCAATAATGCTTTGATTTACAATAAATGACTTTCTCATTCTAAGCTAAAATTAAATTCAATCTAACAACAGCCTCATCTGTTTCTTACAGATTAAAAGTTGGATTTCTAAAAGGGCACAGATCTTATCTTCTGTTTTCAGACTTGTCTTCTTTCTCTAGACCAAACTAAAACTCTATCAACATAAAACAAAAAGAAAAAAACTTATAATTTTGAAATGTTCACAAAATATCACTTTGGAATTGTTTTAATTTTATCATTTTAAAATGAAAAATACTTAGAACCACAAATTACACACAAATAAAACTAATATTTTTATTTTTTGTTCTTCACACAAAGAATGAAAATTACGTTACTATAAATATTATATGAATGGCATTTGTAACATAAGCCTGCATTTACACACCTTTTCATTATTTAGAATTTGAATTTAAAAATGCACGTCTAAATTGTTAAAAATCGTATGAGCTTGCACAATATCTGATTAGTTAAAAGTTAATTCATTGATCACTTCCTGTTCCTTACATTGTCTCTTGAAACTTTTTGGGAAAAAAAGGCAAATTTTTGTGATGTTGATGACCACCTACTAAAATAAGAATATATGCCCATAGGCCATAGTAATTTGCTATGGAATCCCCTGGTTAGCTTTTTTATTTTTATTTTTTAAATAATATACTGAACAAAATTTATAATAGTTTATTTCATGACAACTTGAATGCATTCTTTAACACAACTGCCCTACCATTTAATGTATTTAAAAAAAAAATAAATATTTGAAAAGTGTATCCACAATGTTCCTAAGAAATGGTTTTGAATTCCAGAGTCCCAAGGAGATGAATTGGCTGTCAGATAACAATGTGCTTCCATCAGATGGACTTGGCAGTTGTAAACAAAAGGAATTTTCTCAGCTTTTCCTCACAAATATGAAATATTTGCTTTCGGCCAACAGCTGGGGTGATTTAAAGAAGTCCTGCATATATATTAGTTTCCATTCAAAATTACAAATCCTCCTCCCACTCTGAAACATCTGACTGCATCTTAGTATAACTGAAAATTGTTCTGAGATAAAGTGACATTCTCAGGAGAAGTAAAAGTCAAAAAATAGTACCTACTTACAACTCTAATCAAATTTCAGATCACAAGCCATCTGGTTAATAATTTTTAGAAAAAAGTAATTTGTTCAAATGATATTTGAAGTGACTTGAAAAACAATGAGAAAGTTTGGTCTGTTCTAGCATTTCTGAAAATATTTAAAACTACAATATAACCCAAATAGAGACAGCACGAAAAGTCACTGAAATACCTCCAACTGGATGTTGCTTAAGAATATATATACAGGGAGCCTGGGTGGCTCAGTCCTTAAGTGTCTGCCTTTGGCTCAGGTCATGATCTCAGGGTCCTGGGATCAAGTCCCACATTGGGCTCCCTGCTGGGCGGGAAGCCTGCTTCTCCCTCTCCCACTCCCCCTGCTTGTGTTCCCTCTCTTGCTGTGTCTCCCTCTGTCAAGTAAGTAAATAAAATCTTTAAAATATATATATATACATATGCATATATGTATATATTTCCATATGATAACTAAAAATTGTTCATGAAAAAATGTTATGTTTGAATTATAATTTTAAATTATCTATTCATCTTACCAAATATTTAAATTATATTGATACTTTGTAAATAGATGAATTAAAAACACCTTTACAAGATACTCAATAGGAATTAACTATTCATAAAAGCCTATGAAAGTAATCAAAGTATATTTTCAGAGTATTTTCATAAACTAAGAGACAGGTTATGAACTTATGAACTTTGTAATGAACTTAACCAAATGTTTACCTTGTTTTTACTTCTCTCTGAAAATTAGCTCAAAGTAGTGACTTTCCATTTATTTTGAATTCCACAGATATATTCCCTATATTGTAATATTTATCATGGACAAAATTTTACAGTAAAATAGACACCTCTGGGTTTAATTTTACTTGTGGTGATAAAAATGGAGCCTATATATTTACAAATGTCTTAGAAGTTGACAAGCCATTTTTTTTCTACTTACAATTACACAGAATTAACTTTTGCCCTTGGGCCTAGTGAATCTGAGTATGTGCTATGCCTAAAATGAACTTCATATTTCATTATTTTAAATAAAATTTTTATTTTTACCTAAAGTGCCTATTAAAGCAGGCATGGAAATTGTTGCTACTTTTAATAGAGCTGTTATTTGCCCTTGAAATGCAAACTTATTAAACTTGAGTTATCAAGACATATGAGACATGTAATTCATACTTCAAATTACAAAGTGTGTAATTTATTTTAATTATTGCAGACAAAAGATTTTGTCCTTTGTAGATGTATACTGTAGATATAAATTAAAAATGGCCCTCAAGTAGTATATTCCAATCCGTGAGATTTTGTGTCTGAAAAAACAAAATATATTTTAAAATCTGAAGTCCATATGATCTTCTTGGGAAGAAAAAAAAAATTCGACGTTAAAATGACCATGTTTTGATAATATAATTCTTGCTTCCATTTCTACTAATCTTTAAATTCTTTTTCCAGGAGAAATATTTAGAAAGCTACTATAAAATAATGAAAGTTGTGAATAGCTGTTACTAACAACATTCACCACAAGTGATAAATATCAAAAAGCAAATTTGTATCACTAAGAATTTAAAATATGTCCTCAAATGTCACTTAATGACACACAAAGCAACAGCATGAAAATTAAAATAAATACTAGTAAACTTTTCTTTTCCAGAATATACTATAAATGCAAATAAAATCACTACCTTTCTTCCTATAAAAGCAAATAAAAAACTAGATAGACCATAAGGAAAACATGTACCTCTCTAAGTACCAAATAAAGCAATGGCTATTCACAAGGAAATCAATGTCTCAGGAAAGGAAGTCTGTTTGTTTGTTTTTTATCTTTATTAAAATTTAGTACCATTTGTGCAAAATTCCACAATTTCTAATTGTAAGTTAGCCTGAAAGCCACTTGTTCGACCTCTTGTTTCTGTAAAACGTTCAAAGACTAAGACATGAAATTGAAGACATGGCCCTTGAAATTCAAGTATTTTTTAAAAATACAGTTATGTCGTCATAACTTTGGAATTAAAAATACTTACAGTCTCTCCAGTTCTTTAAGATCCTGGAATGCTCCTCTTTCAATGGTGCTAATCTTATTCTCCATAAGCTGACTGAAATGCAAAGTATAATAGGGTCTTAATGTTACCACTCCCCATCTGAGCGAGTTTCAGTTCAGCAACTGAAAACTTGTAACCTCTTTCCCTTTATAAAATTAAGCAATGCTCTGGTTTGAGAATTAATAGCAAATTTAATGATGATATATTTGAGAGAAATCACAGAGGGCAAACAGCATCCACAGCACAAAACTTCGATAGAAAATACTAATGTAGTTTCTCACAAAATTTACCAGTCAAAACTCTGAACCTCCCACTACAGTTATCCTGAGGAGCAACCCATGACACTGCAGTTTTGATAGCTATTTTTGGTAAACTGATTTTGGACTGAGTTCTTAACTGAAAGAATCAATATACAGCATGTCACCATACACATACTTTAATTCACTTATGGATATACATCAGAAATTGGAAGATTTCATAATGGTCAAAATGTGTCCTTTAAAAGATCAACACCCAACACACAGTGATCAAAAGTATATGTTCATTGCAATGTAAATATTTACAAATCTGTGGGTAAAAACAGTTTTACATTACATTGAATCTCCAGTGATGGTTCCCTCACAACAAATTTTACCCACTAATTAAAGAAGTAATCATAGTGCAACAATATTATAAAAACTACAGAAATGTAAAATACAATAAACAATTCAAAATATGACCAGTGTATTTTTAAGGAGAAACATTTGCCATCAAAAACTGCAGGAAAGTTGGATTGCTTGATTTTAATGTTAGAAATTACATCTAAGCGTTGTTTGCTAGAAAAGTTAAATGCAGACCCACTTAAATTCTTTCTTAATCTCAAATCCTTAAAGTGTATCAAATGTCTCACATTACTTATTCATATTGTGAAAGCAATTATTCTACACGTTTATATGCATAAGGCACTTAGGGTATGGTATAGCAAACATTTGAGGTCATTTCTATAATATTGTTTCAATGGCAAGCATCCAACCTTAAAATAAAAGCCTACATTTTCATCAAAAGCTGTAACACAATGATAAACCAAAAAAAGAGAAAGGAAACCAAAACCTTTTAAAATTTTATGTTTCTGTCATTGGGACAGTTTTTCAATCTGAGACCAGTAACAGTACAAAATATTCAACCTTAAGAACAAAAGAAAATTCTTCAAAATACAGAAGAACATACTTACAGGACTCTTAGGTGTCGAAGACCAGCAAAATCTGTCTTGGTAATCCGTGTGATGTTATTTCCATTCAAATCCCTAAGAAAAAACAAGAAAATGAAATTTCCATCTTATTTCTATCAAGATCTAGTTAAACAAAGAAAAATAAAAATTTAATAAGAACTTTAAAGTCAAAGATCAGTTCCAGTTACTGAAGTAGTTTGCAAAGTAAAAGAGAAAAAGAGAGAAGGAAGTAGTAAGCTTTGAAATATACATATGTATATATATATATTAATGATTCTTAGCAAGTTTACAGAGTCCTTGCTTACTGGCATCTGACAAGAACACGAAGTGATTATGTTATCAGAAGTCCTCTTTTGTGTCTGTAGGGGAGTGCTTTCAATTTTTGTTTTTATGAGAATGTGTTTATTAATTTCACAAGTATTCTGCTAAGTTAACTATTATTGTTAGGCACACCCCGAAGAAGTTCCCCTCAGGAAGTTAAGAAGAACAATTTTCTAATACTACCCAGGAAGAAATTTTTAAAAATTCAGAACCCTATCCTTAGGTGGCAGGGTGGCTAAACTTCCTAAGGCAAAAAAAACCCTTACATTGCCATCAAAAGAACTGCACTTCAAAGACTTGCATTTACAGGCATTTACCTTCCAACAATTCTATGTTTGTATGAAAACTAAACTCTTCATTTGCAGCTCAGGGAACCCCGCTGTGATGGTAAAGTCAAAACTACTAGCGGGGGCAATAATGGAAATAGATTCAGGCCCTGACATTTTTGTTCGGATTTCAGCACCACGTTTCCTTCAAGTCACCACCCCCTTTTCTGGCATCTTAGGTCAAGATCTAAACTTGCCCTGGTTCCAATCATTTCAAGTAAAACCAGGCTGTGTTGCGGTTTGAATGTTCGCCTTCACGGAAGTAAGTTTTCTTTTACCTCTGAGTAGAAAACACCATCTTGGAAATTTGTATGCAAAGTGCTTATTTTGTCAATGATAGAATTCTATAAGCTAGCACTGAGTATACTATTTTCTGAAAACTGTATTGATCCCTCATAGGGATATTTTTTTTTCAAAGACCCGAAACTCAATTACTATTTTGTTCTGAGTGCATTCCCTTTTTGTTGAGTAAGACATGTTAGTGCCTAAACTTTTAACTGTTTTTAAACAGCACGAAAGGACAAGTGCTAACACAGAATTCTGCATTGCTTTCTCCCCAACCCACTCTCCATGCCTAGCAAAGTACCACCAAGTTGTTCCTACAATTGTTGGAGTCTTTTATGGGCTATTTGACATAACATGAATCCCTACCCACAGCTCCAGACAAATGTGGTAGATCACATTTTGACAAGACACCCTTGGTAGGGCCCCAACTAGCCCAGCGCTAGAGGGAGTTGAAGTGGGGGGCAGGCCAGAGAGGCTGGGGGTGTGGGAGACATTTGCAAAGGAAGAAAGGGCTCAACTCTGGCCTTTAAACTGAGGGAGAACGAATTGGGTTAGATAAGAAGAGCGACTCGAGGCGCTGCGGGCCGCGCCGGTGGAGACGTGCGGGTCCCAGCGGGTCCCCTCCGCGGCGCGCAACCCTAACTCCCGGGGGGCGCCGAGGTCGCGGTAGCAGAGTCGGGGTGCGCTTGCCCCCGCCGCCCTCGCCCGGCGCACGCCCGGCCCACGCGCAAGGGCGAGTGGAGCGCGCCCAGGGCGCTCGGGCAACGCGGGGCGGCGGCCTCGGCGTTCACAAAGGGAATGGCCTCCATGCTCCACTTCCCTGAACTCGGGAAGCGCCCCACAAGGAGCGCGTGGGCCGTCAACACGGGGTCTGCGATTACTTCTTCATTAGAGATTCGCAGAGACAGGGAGGCGGGGATGTCTGCGGGCAGCAGAGCGCGAAGAAGGGAAGGAAGGAGAACTGAGGCCACGTGAATGGGCGCAGAAACTGCCAGAAAGGTGCACGGGAGCCCTAGGGCTCAGCAGGAAGGGCCGGGGGGTGGGCAGCGGAGGGCCGCAGGGTCGCCTTAGCAGTCGGACCCCGCTCGGCTGGTTCGAGTTAGAGAGGCAGCCCTAACTTAGCCTACACGGGGGGAAAAGGTCCTCCTCTTCAGTCACCGGTTCCGACACGTCTCCTGGGGCGGGCCGCCGCCGCCTCCTCCCTGGGGACGTGGGGGACGGGGGGAAGAGTCGCGGGGGCGGCGTGCGGCGACCGAGCGAGCTGCCTAGGTCCTGGGGCATCCTTCCCTCTGAGGCCTGCAGAAGCTCCCCCGGGCGGACCCAGGCGCCCCATGATCCCTTCTCTTCACCCCCTCCGTCCCCAGGAGGGTGACACTAAGCCGGGGAGCAGAGGTTTCTCCCTTCTGAGTCCCCTCCGCCAATCTCCCCCCGCGCCACCCCGCGCCGACAAAAGCTGGGATTTGGCCCTGAAATCGACCCGCCAGTGTTGGCAACCGCAAGGTGACTCCGTTTACACAGTCTGGGGAACAAAGTCGCGTCTCCCTTGCCCGGGGCACTAGCGAGTACTTGTCCCCCACGTCCCCGGCTCTCCAAGCCCCAGAGAAGTATCCTGCCCTGGGATGCAAGTGTGGGAAGAAGGGACCAAGCACAGCTGCCAGCGGGCCCGCCCCTCCTTGGGCAGCGGCCCCTCCCTGTGCAGCGCCCTCCTGTCCTTCGCCCTCCCAGGGAGTTCTAGCCCAGGATGCGCGTGCAAGAGAGCTACCCAGGCACATGTCCCTGTGCCGTTTGATCCCTCCAGTCTCGACGAAGGGGATGCGCGCGACCCAGTGTGTTGGGGGGGGGGGGGCGGTGGAAGATCCCATACTCACAGTCTCTCAGTGTTGCGGGGGATATTCCTGGGCACGCTGCGCAGCGCCAGCCCGTGACAGTCCACTGTGCTGCCCGAGCAGGAGCACTGCGCCGGGCACGCCTGCGGCGCCACCTCGTTCAGGATCACCAGCACTAACCCCAGCGACAGGGACAGCGTCTGCCAGCCGACGCCACGCATCTTCCCCCGCCGCCTCCTCGCTCGCCGGCGCGGGGGGTTCCTCTTTAGCTCGTTGCTCCGCGCGAATCGCGCTGTGTCTGAGGCCCAGTATCTGGCGCGGGGCTAGGAACCCAGCGTGTCCGGGTAAATGTACACAAAATAATATGGAAGTAACAGTAATAATATTCAGGGCAGTAGAGCTGACACAGGTACGCGCCTCCCACCTCCCCTCCACCCTCCTCCAGCAGGGCAGGCGCTCCTCCGGCAACTTTAGGTCCTGAAGATCAATCGGCCAGGCCAAGGCTACAAGGAGACCCCAAAGCTGCGGTGAGATCACGCGTCGTCTGTCTCAGAAAGATCAACTTGGCGGTAAAAGAGCTGCGGATGCAGGGGCCGGTTGCGCGGAAAAGGGAGTGCTCCGATTCCACTGACCCCCTCTGCAAATCCGATTCCAGTAGGGAGGCTAGGAGACAAGAGAGGTGCTCAGTAGAAATGGTGGCCTCGATCAAAGTGGGCTCTCCGAAGCTAGAAGGCGCAAGAGCCCAGCGGGCGGGGAGCGGAGCGCGCCGGACGACTGGGCATGGCGCGCGGGGGCGCACGGGGCGGGGGCGCAGTCCGGGGGGCGCGGGGCGGTGCTGCGGGGCTCTGGCGCCGCTCACTCGCGCGGCCTCCCGACAGCCTGCGGCTCTTCCGCAACCCCGACAGATCCTCGCCGTCTCCCGACAGCCGAGGGCGGTTTGCAAACACACATGCACTTCACCGAAGGACGTCTCGGCAATCCCGCCTCTTGCCCAGCGTCCTTGGCGACGCTCCGCACCAGGGCCTTTCCCGAGGTCACGCAGAAAAGACAAAGGGCAATGGGGCCGCCGCAGCCAGCAGCAATATCCACTAGTCACCACCCCGACAGAGGAAATCCAAGAGGCCAAGTTGAGGACCAGAGCTCCTCAGAGGATTGAGTCGGGGCTGGCTGGCAGGCAGGCCAGAAGGAGTGCAAAGGCCAAAGTGGAGGTGTCCGGGTCTTGGGTCCTGCCCGGGAGGGGGATGACGAGGTGGCAGTGGGCCGGTGGGATCCGCTACTCCGAGGAGAGCCCAGGAGGCGGCTGAATGGCAGTCCTGTGTGCGCGCGTGTCAGCCCCTCGCGTCTCCCGGATACGCCGCAGCTCCGCAGCAGACACCTGATGGCAAAGGTGGACGAAACCAGAGCAGGCTCCTAGGCGGACGCAGCCCCTCGGCCGCCCCCCGGACAGCCGCCCGCAAGTGAGCCCTCCTTCTCAAAGTGCAGGAACTTTTCCCAGGCTTTGAATCCTGTCCCCCACGGCCACGGTGGCAGTCTTCCCGCCGACGTCGCGACGCCGCCCGGCTCCCGGTGCTGCACCTGACTCGGCGGCCGCAGTCCAGGACAGCCGGTCTCCTTCCAGCCCTTTCCCCTCTCCTGGCTGCTTTCCGCGCCTCCTTCTCTAGGGAGGGAAGTGGCGGAGGGGGAAAGCGGCGACAGGCAGCGGGGACTCGGTGGCTCTGCTGGCTCCCGAGCTCCTGGCAAGTGTCTAAACAATAGGACGGACGCAGCAGCCCTGGTCTCGCTCGGCTGCGGGAAGGTGGGTTGTTGTTGTAACTGGAGTTGTTCGCTCGGGCCGCCTGGCCCTGGGCGCAGCCAAACAAAAACCCGACCCGCGCCTCCGGAGCCGGCGTCGGGCCCCCGGACGCTCCCCTTTCTCTTCAGCACTCCCGCCGTGCTCGGAACGCTTGGCAGCTCCCGCCTGCGCCCGGGAGCCACAGCGCTCCCATCGCTCGCCGCTGCCGCCGCCGCCGCTTTTTTAACCACCGTCTGCGGCAGCTACCGCCGCCGCCACCGCTGCTGCCGGCCTCCGCGTGCGCACGCTCCCCAAATAAATAAGCCCAAGTCAGAAGTTAAGCCGGCGCCGGCCTTATATACCCGGCGGAGCCCCCACCCCTCGGCCCCGCCCCGCGCCGCCCGGCCCCGCCCACTGGCTGCGCGCGGGGCGCCCGCACCTCGCCGGGGAGAGGTGAGGCCCCGGCCGCCAGCGCCAGGCGGGGGCGGCGGCGGCGGCGGCGGCGGCGGGCGGCGCGTTCCCGCGCGCCCGGGCTCGCGCCTTCGCTCCCTCGCTCCCTCGCTCCCACGCCCCGACAAAGTTTGCCCGAGGAAGGAGGTTCCCGGGCTCCCGCCCCCAGCTGCAGGGCCCGGGAGGTGCCCCAGCCTCTGGGGGGGTTGTTCGCCGCGGAGGAACGGGGAGGGGGCGGCTTTGAACGCGACTCATAAATAAATAGCGCTGCCAGTGCCTTTGCTGCAGCTTTTGCCTCGATCCTGAGGGGCTGCTCAGTGTGTTTGCAGCGCAGCAAGAGAGAGCCCGAGAGATTGTGATTTAAAAAAAAAAAAAAAAAAAAATTCTACCGAAATAGATCTGCCTGCGCTCACAGACACACACATGTGTATTTTTGGGAGCTTAAAAGTTCAGAGTTTTTGCAAGTTTTCCAGCCTTCTCGCCAGCCTTCCCATCTCTGAGCCACCCCCTTCCGTTTAACCCTTTCTTTATAGTCCCACACTTAACACCAGGCTCAGTGGATGTCTTGGATATACAATATGCTCGCAAAACCCTAAGGGCTGGAATGTGTCTGTCTGATTTCACTCTCTTAGGAGGGAAAACTAAATCCCTAGCAACGCACATTGTAACCAGAAGGTTTCCTTTATTTAGGGGAAGATCTGGATTTTTTCCCCCCACTATGTTTTGAAGGAGAATTTCCTCGTTTCCTCTTGTCTTTTTAGTGTGATGGGTGTCTGGCAACTGCTACAACTCGCCTGCTCCCCACTACTCTCCCAGCAAAAACCAATGTGACTACTGAGTAATGATTACTAGAGGTGTCAGCTCCTTTGCTTGATTTTAAAGCCCCTCATCTCATTCTTCCTTGTCCCATTCCATCCTACTAAGCTTTCACAGGAAGTAGTGCGAGCCCCCAGCTTAATGCCAATCTCATAGTGTGATCATTATTTGTGTCATTATCTGTCATCCCCTTGAAAGCAAGAGGATCTGTCCAATTCACTTTTGTATTTCCAACATCTAACAATATGCCTACCACATAGTCGGCGCCCTGAAAATTGGCCCCTTTTTTCTTATCATAAGAATGTACTCAACCTGAAATTTCACGAATATCCCTATTAACTTTTTTTCCTACTTATATTTTCCAAAATGTCTTTTAATGAGACTATCTCTACCTATTCATTTTGCCGGGTCTGGAAATCCTAAGCTATTCTGAGGACATTTCCAAAGACAGGGGACCTATTAGATAACAAAACTGGAACTCTTTGGATTACTCATTTTAACGCCATAGATTTATGTTGCTCTGTTCTTTTAAAGACTTCGAAACATTTAACATTTATTAACTCATTTGTCCTTCTAGATTTTAGCTAAAAGGTCTGTTACGTAACTTCTTTAAGAAGGAAAAAGTGGAAGGCATACTCACATTTTCTTGTAAAGATAATGAGCTAAAGAATAAGTGCCTTGAATGACCAAGGATTCTTCCACCACCCTACACCAAACCCAGTGAATTTTCTTTAATCTGTACCCGTAAATTATGTGGTTGAAATATGTTTACTACCACACTAATTAATTTAATTTTATAACTCTGATACCTTGTCAGCAACAAGATGTATTTATGTTCAACTTTATCTACCACCTAGAATCATTATTCTGTATTTTAATTGCAAAAACATATCTTGCATTCCAATATTTGCAAATAATGCTATTTATATTGTTGCACCAACGAAAGTCATAAATGTGGGTTCAAGTTTGATTATTTGTCTGCTTCACTTTCCATTCTGTGTAAAGTCAAGAAAAGAACTGAAAATAACATTTGTAGCCACATGCCTTTTGGAACACATTTTTAAATTTGATGAACATTTATATTAGAAGTTATGTCCAAGGATTTCATGAAGAAGAAAAGGAAGACTGCAACTAATTCCTGAGCAACATGGCACATTAATTTCTCTGTGTTATCAACTTTTCAGTTAATAAAGGGAAATTTATACATGACTAGCCAGGTTTCTCATTTCTAAAGCTATTATTATAGTATCCTTCAGTATTATTGTAGTGTGTTTTTTGGAGGCCTTGCATCTTCAGTACCAGTAACTTCTAGGTCTTCATTTTCCTGGATTATGTTGTTCCCAAATGAGATTTGAATTTCTCTTTGACCGCGTTATACCCATCCTGAAGAAAGCCTTCTGTGGTGCCTCTTGTCACCACATGAGGTCTCCATAAATCCTGACCTGAATGAAACAGAAGTGGAAACCACTGGAGTCAACATTCAAGTCTCCTATTATCTTGAGGGGGAGAAAAAAAAAAAAAATCCAGTTGCTATGATAATTTGAAAACAATTTAGACAATTAAAACCTCATACAGTTAAAAAAAATAAAAAGCAAACATTCTCTCAATTTGCATTTTCTTTGGAGAAAAAAACTTTATGAAATTGGGACTTATGGAGGAAGGGAATAAGATAAAGAATTAGTGAAAAGGAGGTAAATATGAGTGAAAACAAAGATGATAACAGTAATAGCATTGATCAAATTCACGAAGTTAACAGAAAAATTACCTGTCTTTAACGGCTTTCATGCTACTATTTTCCATTGTTGCAAAACGTGCCCATGTTAATTTCCTGATTTTTCTTACAATATCTTTGCATTTGAAATACAGATATGGAACCCCAGAGTCAAAGAGATTGAGATTTAACTAAATATTTTTCCATGCATCCCAAGTGCCAAGCTATTTGTTGGAGTTAAAACCACAGTGTAGCTGTATATGGTTGCTATTTTACTTGTATTCAGGTGAGGACACTGGTCTTCAGTTAGGTCTGATTAAGTGGCAGAGCTGAAATCAGAACCTGAGTTCCCTGACCTCAAACTTCAATTGGTTCTCCTACACACAATGTCTAGAGACCCTCTGAAACTCTCAGGGATCAAGGAATCTATAATTCATCAGGTACTCTCAGCATTATACAGAAGATGTTCACATCTCTCCACACGGTCTATTTATGGTCATCTAAAAAGAGGAGGGGAGAGCTAGGGCCCACAGCAGCAGCACCCCAAGGATATTAATACCTGAAGAGCTTCTGGAGTTGGCTTAAACTTTGAGATGATTCTCTAGGGCAGTGTTCTCAGAGTATGGTTCCTGGACCAGAAGCATCAGAAAGGCCAGAGACTGTAGCTGGAAATGTAAATGTTCAGATCCCACCTCAGACCCACAGAATCAGAAACTCTGGGGGTGAAAGCCAGCAATCTGGTTCTAACAAGCCCTCCAAGTGGTTTTGATGCTCACTGAAATTTGAGAACCACTGATTTCTAGAGCTACTTTGTGGTTACATCTGAGCCACTTAAGTATAGAGAATTAAGCAGCACTGAGTGATGGACGGTGCCTGCTGAGCCGGCTTCCCCTTCTCTTTGCTGGGCATTTGACAACCGCACATTCCTGATAACCTCTAGGGGGCACCAAAATATTTTTATGTACAGCCCCACGGAGGCAACAAAGGCTTAGGCTCATTTTCCAAAGAAACGGCCTGAAGAAGGGGAAAGAGCTTCAATCTCAGCAAGCTGCCCTAAGTATTATGATTCAGCCAGTTAAAAAAATTTGCCATATTTATTTTTTTTCCAGTTTAATATTACATATTATGGAAATAATGATATCCACTGTTCGTGATTATGGTGAAGATTAAGATAGTATTTGTCAAACTGACACAGCACTGTGCCTGGCATAGACTGAAGTGTTCATTAAATAAAAAGCAGAATCACTTTGTTCATCCTTACTACTGCTATTACTAGGTAAATATTTCTAAAACATTGTATTGCTATTGTAAGACTAGATTAGGTATTTCCATTAACTATTACAATGATCAGGTAACTTCTTGTCCTGAGCTCTGGGAAACCCTGGGGCTATACTTTAAGAGTAGAAGAAAGACCATGGCCTGCCCCGGCCTACAGCATTGCATGAGTGAAAGAGTAGAGATGGATACAGTTAGTTTCAAGACACTTCTATCCCGGGGTGCCTGGGTGGCTCAGTTGGTTAAACGACTGCCTTCGGCTCAGGTAATGATCCCGGAGTCCAGGGATCGAGTCCCACATCGAGTCCCACATCGGGCTCCCTGCTCAGCGAGGAGCCTGCTTCTCCCTCTGCCCCTCCCCCACTCATGTATTCTCTCTCTCTCTCATTCTCACTCTCTCAAAATAAATAAATAAATCTTTAAAAAAAAAAAAAGACACTTCTATCCCATGATACCCTTTGAAGGCGTGAAGTTGGTTTTCCATTGCCATGATAAAATAACTTGTTGATGGTTTGGTAAAATTAAAATGAAAAGTCTAAAACCTGGATATGCTTCTAAGTGGGAATGCTTGGGAAGCTTTGGATATGTCCCTTAGATTTTTCTGGCCATAGTTTTTCTCATTTATATAATGTTGGGATTAGACCAGTTGAACCATAAACACTTCCCAGAGCTTAGTAATAATATATTTATTTTAAGTAATGTCTGTGTTCCAAACACTTAGCTCCTTTCAGCTCACAACAATCTGAGTTAGAGACTATTTTGATCCCCTATTTATACTTAAGAAAACGTGGATTCACAGGAACTCATTCAGTTGATCATGTTCTTAATAAGTGGCAAAGTAGAAATAAGAGTTCTGATCTGACACCCCAAATCTCATTTTATAAACATCACGATACACTGTTTCTCAAATTCTATCATTTAAGTATAGAGTGTAATGATTTGTTCTATATGTAATTAAGACCAAAATGTTTTAGGGGAGGTAAAGTTGGAGTAAAGAGGCATTTGAACATTAAATATATAATATACTTGGGCAAGAACAACAACAAAAAAATAAAAGGAATAGTTAATACTCAATGATGCAGGT